TGGCATGTATTTGTTTTTATTCCAGTTTATAATTCACTCAACGCTTTAGAGATAGCTCAGTGGGTATAGCGACTAGACTATGAACTTGACAACGGAGGAGTTAGGGGTCGACTCCCGGCTAGAGCAAGATATTTTTTATCTTCTCCGTAACATCAAATATTCTCTGGGAATCAGTCAGCCTCCTACACAATGGATACCGGCGTCTGTCTTCCGGGGGATAAAACGTTAGGAGCATAAAGCTGACAACTCACATCCATCTATTTCCGATGTTAAGAATGATGGAGCTATACCTCCACTCCCCCTTACGTTTTCATGGTGTGATGCTTAATGAACTGAGCACAGGGATAATTTTACCATTACACTTACATTACCAAACTACATTCCCGGAATAGGTTTCATATCGCCACGTGTATAAGTGTGGCTATAGGTGGGGTTTCGATTGAAGACCGGATTCGCTTACCACTTACAGGTTGTAACTAAAACAATCGCTTATCTCCACACTCTACAAATCACTACAGCACACGTTAAGTCTTTTCACTCAGCTGTATCTTCGTCAGTCGTTCCCTGGTAGCGGCTACTAACAGTGGAGATTCCTCCGCTTCCGATCTCACTTCGCTGCCCGTTGGTTCTCAACCACACAGGCTAAGTCTTCTCTCCACAGACTCCCTTACAACTCTGAACTCTCGCTCTAATTGTCCTTCTCGTAAGACTTCGGCTAGGACCGCGCAAAAACATCGTTCACTGTTACATTGCAATCGTTTCCTTGGGAACATCTTACACAGTAACGACTGCGTGTTCTAGCTTATTAAGAATCTGCTGCCTAGCAGCGGATGTTATTTCGTTGTTTCGTGGTAGTCTACACACTACAGTCCATTCGCGGAGACGAGAGAGTCCTCGTAAACAAATGCACGCGGCATCTCCTTCGCTCTTTGAACGATATCATGCAGTGATCACGTGATGCGTGTCCCGTTGCAGGGGCGTCCAAAGTTTACTCTTCAGTCTGAATGCAGGTTAACGTGCGTCCGAATGCAGCGAGTACACTGAAGTAACTGCGGGCTTTGTCCACTCCTTGCTGTCAGCTGTGGCGACGTGGGGCTTGCTTTGTTTACGCTAACTGTCTCGTCTCCGCGAATGGATTATACAATATTTTAACGGTATGACTGACACTCTTCCCAACGCGGCGGCTAGGGTTCGACCCCAAGATGGAACATGTGGTGGACAAAATAGCAATGAAGCAGGTTTCCTTCAAGGTCTTCAGTTTCCCTTGCCAATTCACATTCCACCGCCTGCTTCATTCACAAGTTTCATCCGGGGCTGGTTCAACAAGCCGAATAGTGGCCGGCGTAACAAGTGGACGAGGTGTCACACTCCCTATGAATTATGAACACAAGAAAACGAACTCTGAGCAGCAAAGTCCTCGTTGAGAAGCTAGCCTTCGCTCAGCTAGTCAGAAAATGTCCCTTCTTTCATGTAACACGGTTACAAATGTGAAGGAAGCCGTCTCCTGGGATGTAGCGCCGTGTAGATATTGCGTAAACCGAGGTTTCGGTAGGAACGTATCGCCTCCATCTTCAGGGTATAAAATCCGCGAGCGAGGACCCACAGTGAAGAGTAAGCTCATGAAATAAACAAAAGCAAGCAGACTTCTCATTATGCGTTCATTATTGTATTTTGTACAAATATCTCATAAAAAACAAGTTAAGTAAATTATATTCATTGACGAATTATAAACTCCATAAGAACATCAACGGAAAAGAAGCTTGGTCTATACATATCCAATCCGAACTGTTATATGTCGATAAATGTCACAATTATCACAACAAGACGCGTTGCCATGCGACCGCACTCTTCTGTTTGCCTGACACTTCTGTCACAGGATATAGAACGATTAACTCTGTCATGTTATAACGAGTAGCTCGTTCAGTTTTCCTGAGCCGCATAAGCACAGGAACTTAACATTTGACAGCGTAGACACGTAACTTAACGACCAGACTAATTAATTAATTCGCTTAGTGGGGGATGGAGTCCAACTGGGTCCACTCGGCAAGGCGGCCACTGATTGGCCTATTGTAGCCTGCCCCGGGCGATTATGATGATGGAGAATTTGGTGGAATGAAGATTGGCAGGGGAAACCGAACTACTCGGAGAACATCCGCACTTTGTCCACCACAAATCCCACTTGACCAAACCTGGGATCGAACCCAGGCTGCAGTGGTGGGAAGGAAGCGACTAACCGCTTGAGCTATGGAGCGGCCAATGANTCATTTTATAATTCGTGACCATGAGATGTCTCTTCTCAGCATTCCCACTGCCTCTATGACAGTGAGACGTAATTTCGCCCTAGCAGTCTTTCATCTTTTCCTTTTCTATTATGTTCTACACAACTGTTCTTCCTTCAGTTTAATGTATACCAATATCTGTAAGATTTGAAGTTTTCACGGCGGTGACTACGAAGAATGCCGTCTTCTGGGATGGGGCGCGTGTAGATCTTGTGCTAGAGCCACCTGTTCACGCTGGTTCCTCGCTCGCGGATTTTTGTCCTGAAGATGGAGGCGATACGTTCCTTCGAAACGTCGATTCACACAAGATCTAAACAGCACCACATCCCAGAACACGGAATTCTTTATATCAATGTATCTTCCTACTCCTGAAAGGTAACTCAAAGTGAATTCTGATAATCGATCTTCTGGCTTTCTGTCAGTATTACTGTTAAATTCACTTTGGGCCGATCACAGCGGCCACGCGGCCTAAGGAATGAAGTGTCTTCTCCCGCGCAAACACTGAGGTTGTGGGTTCGAATCCCACCCGAGGGATGGTTACCTGCGTTCATTCTGCGTTCTGTTGTACTCTATAGATAGTGGTCTTGCAACGGGCTGATCCCCTCCCCCAATCCAAGGAGTCCTACAGACTGTCTATAAAATCAAACTCCGTGGGTTGAGTCCGCAAGCGAACTATACCGACCGAGCGACTGCCGATTGTCGGCAAAGTTAGTGACAATTTTAGCGGATAGAGGGTGTCGCGTGATCAGCGCAACGGATGCCCATGGCCGTTAATTTCGATTTTCTAGACCGGAGCCTCTATTTCCTTGAAACAGCTCCTCAATTATCATCACGAGGCTGAGCGGACCACGTTTCAGACCCACTAATTCTCAGAAAATCTGGTAGAGCTGGGAATCGAACACAGGGCCTCAGGATCTGTAGCCATGAACTCTGACTACTTGACCACAGAGGCTGTCGCCGACTGCCTATAAGACTCATAATTTCATAAATAATCCTGACAGGCCAGACAGCCTACACTGCAAAGATAGAAGAAGAGGAAGAAGATGAAATTCACTTTGTCTCTTGATGAACATGTACGTACAGATCTATCTACTCAATGATCAATGATCCACGTAAAATGGTGGGTCTTACAAACATCTCCTGCAGATGTAATTTCAAATGAGTGCACAAGTATGCTGCTGCAGTCAGTGTCAGAACAGTGGACTCATTTCTACAACCGACCCACTGTGGAACTGCTCTTCGTCGTAGCGAGGCTTTTATGACTATCCAACCGTTTTCTGATTCTCACCTTGTACTGCAGCTACCTCCTTATCTCTTCTTGATTGTTGCTCCGGCCACCTTCCGCTCCTAGTTGTTGAAAAGGCAGGTATTTGGGAAGCCAGGGAGTGATTGTTGGGCGAGTTATCTGGGTTAGCCCGTCTGCTCAGATATGAGCAGAGATTATCCCTAGTCTTACAGTGTAATGAGCCTAGCTCCGGCAGGACAGGAAGGAACTTATGCTAACAACTTCGTACTAACACCAACACAATTATTTGCGAGATTTTATTTGTTGTTTACTTCGCGTTTCAATACCAAATTAATTACTTCACTTGATTAATTGACCACTACTTATCCTATGTTCATTCTGGTATCACTCGAGTTTTCCGGTAACATAATTTTAGTAAGTGAAGTGAACCTTCGGGTTCCATAAAATGCTGGGAAGTTCTTGAGTAGTTGCACAATTGGCAGCTTCTCAAAACGGACCAAGCTCCATGAGTGGGTGAGTGTAGAGACCCCTTCTAGTGAACGTTCACGCTTCCAACTATGTGTTAATGGAATTGCTGCCAGCACTTTAATATTTAATTTATTTCTTCTTCCTTACGGGAGCTTTCAATGTTTCTGTGTTTATTTACTTATTTTGTTAATTACTTATCGAAGCTGTCAGTGCTTCAAACTGTGTTCTATGCGTCCAACTGTTGGAACAGTGGAAACTGCAGTCAAGAGGACGTGGATGGAAGTGGCAGTCGCATACTCTCAGATATTATCCTGGAATATACGTGGAGAGACCGAAGAATAACACAAAAATCTCAGTCAGGATCAACGTTCCCTCTAAGCTTCGCACGCGGCCGCGGAACAGCTGTCGCACTCCCAGCCTACCGCGCAGTCGCACTGGTTCGCTATAGTCAATTTGAGTTAATAAAAATAAAAATGGAAAAGCAAACTAAATTTTTTGTTGCTTTTGGGAGCTTATAAATTTGATGTCCGTTATGGACCCCACCCGGATTGTCCAACTGGGACCTAGACTTTAACCTAGGACCTCAAAAATTCTGCTACCAACGACTGCGAGGTTCGATAGGGTTCCCGCCCGCTATGTGGATTCTATTATCTACATATTCATAATATTCGCAATTCGTAAGCATTTCGCATGATCTTGTGATCACGTGATCTTGTACTGTAAACTGTTTTCTTAGAGGGCAACCTCTGTTCTTACTGGATTTAGGCACTCAGCCATCTCGGACCTGATTCCAAGTTAGCGAATCTTTTCCGGAAGGAGGCATCATAAGGCCTGCACGATCATAAGACAAGGCATACCACACAGAGATTTCTGTATCTCGAGCGACCCAATGCCCAGATGAGTACACTTCCTAACTTACTTCATGGAATAAAGACACGTGACCAAAATGTACTTATTATTTATATCTTCACATTCATATGCTAATAATATAAAAATTGTGGACATACCTTTGAGCTGCTTGGCTATCTTTTTTGCCGGGTCTAGCCAGTGCTGAAACAAGAGAGAGAGACAAAATTAAGGATTCGAAACGGCGTCCAGGAACATTTCTACGAGTATATTACTTCTGAACACGGAGAAGATAATTTTCTATTTTATGTATCTTTTGCCGTTACACTCTGATGACGCCAGAACCCACCTCCGCTGTTACAGTGGCCGTGACTTAGCTGAAGAGAATGCCAGTTCTCTGCCCGCGGGCCTCGCGGCTGCTTGCTCTTCCCATCAGGCCACCAGTACAGGTCCGACCTATCTACACCGGCCGGAGCCGGAGCAATGTTCCGAACCACGGATGATCAGCATCCTACTCCAGTCGGACACTTGATGCACAGTCTTCAGTGTAGTTTCAGAGACTGTTGGTCAAACACCACTTAGACCGTGGAGTCTTGTAAATTTAACACCATGTTTCGGCCACACAAGGTCAGTTTAATATCATTTTATACGTTAAATTATTTTAAACCAATTTGGTTCAAATAATACATTTTCTAACATATTGCCCTCAAGAGCTATACAGCACTACAATACAGTATAACTATCTCCGTGAATCATCATATATACCTGATGATGACCCTGTGTGGTCGAAACATCGTTCAATTTACTAGAACGCATGGACTAAGTGGTCATTCAGCCAATAATTCTGTGAAGCTGTACTGAAGACTGTACTGTGTGCGCGTACGTGCATATATATATAATAACTAACTCCCGTAAGAACTGAGTCCTGAGAAGCCAGCAATCGCTCAGCCACTCAAGAAATTCCGAACACTTTATTTTACAGAACCCGAAGGTTCATCATCGTGTTCATAAGAACCCACAACTGGACTCTACCCCGAGTAAGATGAATCCAGTCCATCTAAATCCTGTTTCTGTAAGATTTATTTTAAAATTATCCTCCCATGTACGCCTAGCGCCACACTATATTTAGGAACACATAACAAAGAAGGTAAAGTAAAGAAAATTAAGTAAAGGTATCCCTGTAACAGGCCGTGGAGGCGCATAGGGTTGTGAGATGTTGAGGTTCCCACATTTTCTAGACAACCGGCTCATAGATGGCGGCAAGGCTGTCAGCCTTACGCGCCGGCCGCCCTTAACCCCAAGAACATTCCCACAACTCTGAGAGCCACGCTGTGTACATTCCGTGCAACAACTGACGGATCAAAACAAATAACCGCGAACCATGAAACCTGATGTCGGCGGCGGGAAGTGGCCATTCGGCAAACTAAACAGGTGCTGTAGAGGCGCTACCGCTGCGTACTTGGTCCGACAGTTCAGTTGGCTGGTTCCAGCTGCAGATACACAGAATCGCTTGATACTGACTAGAAAGAAGCTGTAGGGATGCAGACGGCCAGTAACTCAGACCGCATACCGTCGAATGTTTGGATGACAGTGTGTAAATACATTGGCTCAAGCAGCGGGGCGAAGCCAACCATCTGCCCCCCCCCCTACAATGATCGAGAAAAGCGCGAAATACGCCGAATATTAATAACAAAAGTTAAAATATTTTCAGGAGAAAAAGTACCCTTCGATCCTGAATGCTTTACGGCGATCAGAAAAAGAAAATTATCTTAAACACCTTAAATTAAAGTCTGAAAGAAAATTCTGTGGCTCCCCTTGTCCCCTGCGAAATTAACTGCCATCTTGGGAAAATTCCTAGCGATGCCCATGAGTGAGTATTGAATACAACGTAAATTATGGGGGAGTAAGCCTTCGTGCTCTAATTCCAGTATTCTCCTGGTATTTGCCTCAAGGGACAGCGAAAACCTACGAAAAGCCACAGTCAGGCTAGACCAGTGTCCCGACCGAGATTCGAAACCGAGCACATCCAAATTATTTTTCCCTTGGCACTACAGCCCCATTGGGCCTAGGCCTACCTCCATGAACTTCTCCGTTCACTTCGGTTTTCCTAGATCTTACACATACGGTAGGACTCCTTGGGCGGGTGATCAGCTCGTCGCAAGGCCTCTACCTGTAGACAAACACAGAAAAACGCACACACACAAACTAAACATTCATGCCCTGAGTGGGATTCGAACCCACGATCCCGGTTTCCAAGCGAGCGAAGAGAGCATATGCGCACATCCCAGATACAAGAGGGAACAGTTACTGTTTGTGTCAGCTTTCTGTGTAATATAAAAGCGATTATCACAGCTTCATATGCAAATTCGTGAACCGTTACACCTCTCTTAACATATGAAATAAATAATAAAATTGCATCAAGTGTAATACCACACAGATGTACGTGTGGCCAACAATACAACAGTCAATAAAATATTTGATATGACGCCCGAAAGCCGGAATAGCGAAGTCGCAATACTTTACTGCTAGACAAACACTCGGTAAAACACAATCCAGCTACAACGAATACGCAAGCAACAATCGAGTAACTTCCGTTGCTATGCCACGGCGCTGTAAATACGCCTTCCCAACAGCAGGGAGGCTGTTTCTGCGTGGTCCGTGCAAAGTGGTTATAAAGAAGAGTTGCGAAGTTGGCAGTAGCAGCATAGAATTGAGTCGAGTTTCGAGAGGCCAGCCTGCCGGGATATGAGGTTGTAAGCAGAGGAATTGAACTGATTTGAGTGTTCGGAATTGGCAGCTGCAGAACAGTGGCAAGAAGGGAATTAGGCGGCGCAAAGACTTCACGTATGCTGCGGTTACACTGAGACCTGTTTACCTACTGTATGATAAATCCGTTGCCAGGATACGACTAGTGAAGACCGAGAACCTTAGTGCATGTATAACGGTGAAATGTAAAAGGCGTAGATCAGCAATAGCGTTGTAATTGCCTGTAGTCCCGAACTGTGTGAATAAGACGTCAATAAATCCAATCCAGAACCCGTCTTATGAGTCACGCGCAAATCCCTACACGCGACAATATTCTACGCAACCAGCAACAGAAACTAAGGAAGGCCGGCATTACATTCTTAGATCTATTCAAGAGGACTTTTAAATTTATTTTAACCGGTTTCAACAAATTACTCTTGATATTTAGAACTTATTTCCACTGTATTACCTATTTAGTCTTCATTTATACAGCTAATATACGGCCCTTTATGACACTATAATAACAACCAACGCTCAAACAACATATGTAAATTAGTTCCTTTATAGCGCTGGTTCTGCCTTCTGATGATGGCTAGCAGCGACCAAAACATGTAAAGGCAAGACTTTTACTTACTCCTCTTAAGCTAGTTACACTCGATGGACTTCTGCTACCACAGCAACCGCATCGGGAAACTGAGGAAAATCATCGTATACCTCGGAGCCCGGCCATGATTTGAAGCGATCATCAACATCTTTAACTCACAAAAAGTGAAGTACGGTTTATCTCCATCATGACTTAGTGTTATGCAGTTTACTTCGTTGAAATTTTGAACTGGACTGAAAACTAAAATTTCTTGTAGAACTGCAACTTGGTCCTTGCAGATTCAACAAAATTTGTACTTCATACGAAGCTTAAAGGAACGGATACAAGACACAAATAACGTTAGAGCTCACTAAGATCTGTGACTATGCTGCGCCAAGCGGTTAGTCGCTGGCTTCCCACCGCGGCGGCCCAGGTTCGATCTCGGGTCTGGTCAGGTGGGATTTGTGGTGAACAAAGTGGTGCTGGGGCGGGTTTTCTCCGAGTACTTTGGTTTCCCTTGCCAATCTTCATTCCACCAAATTCTCCATCATCATAATCATCCGGGGCAGGCTACAATAGGCCAGTCAGTGGCCGCCGTGCCGAGTGGACCCATTTGGACTCCACCCCCCATCCCCCCCCTCCGCTATGCGAGTAATAAAAAATTATGATCTGTGACTCATGTACGTTTGTGAACATGTGCATTTAACGGAAGAGAAGGGAAATTATCGGAATTGAGGTTTACATGGCGGTGGCTATGAAGAGGGCGGCCTTCGGCGTTACGACGTCGCGTAGTTCTGAGAGAGATCAGCGTTTCTGAGGAACACATCGCTTCTATACTGAGTTATTTTTCGACTCTTGGAAGTGACGCTACTCCGAAACGTCATTTCTCCGAACGTTACCATCCAGAAAAGAGTACTCTTCACAATGAAAATAATTTATGTCCTTTGATGTAATATGTCCTCTTATGATTAGATTTCAGCAACTCTCCAGTAATTTAACACAGAAATCGATACGGAATCGTGAAGAAGGCATTTCGAAACCCCGTGTACCCGGAACTTGGCATGTTGCAATTGTTACATGATTCTTATTTTATCTGTACTTTGTTTAATGATGCTGTCAGTAGCTCCAACAATAATACGGCGTCGAATGATAGAATGACTTAATGAATGATGAATCAGAATGTGTGTGGGAGGAAGCGGCTGTGACCTAATTTGAGGTGCTACCTCGGTATTTTCCTCGACGGTCTCAGGGCAAATACATAAATCGTCACCAAGAACAGAAGATGTCCTGGAAGCAATTCGATCCAAACACACGTCACACTATTATGACGTGAGCCAACTTGATCGATACATCTGCTAAATCTATCAGCAAAAGATGTACGGGGTATTTTATTCGATTCGTGCTAGTTACATAGCTCCTGCTTTACACGAAGGTCAAATCGAAATAAGCCTCGGAATTGCTCAGATTTTGGACTCTGTCCATCGTCTGGTATTCTAGAAACTAGAGAACACAACGTTCTGTATGAAACTGGATCTGTGTAAGATTTGAGGCTTTCACGGCGGTGACTATGAAGAAAGCAGTCTTTTGGGATTTGGCACCGTGTATATGTGGTGTTAACCGACGTTTCGGAGGTACGTATCGCCTCCATCTTCAGGGTAGAAAAATATAAGAAATCTGCAAGCGAAGAGACCGTGAGAACCGGTACCTGCTTTTACCGTTTCTCACGGTCTCTTCGCTTGCAGATTTCTTATATTTATTCTTCTACCCTAAAGATGGAGGCGCTACGTTCCTCCGAAACGTCGGTTAACACCACATATACACGGTGCCAAATCCCAAAAGACTGCTTTCTTCAAAACTGGATCTGTTTCCGTTCCCA